GTCGTATATATATATATATATATATATATATATATATATTTCCAGTAGCGATAAACTGGTTAAACATCGCTATTTCCGATCGAGGATACGTTCTCGAAACGGGTTAAGCAAATTTAAACACCGCCTTTCTCTCCACTTTCCAAAGCTGACCGGAAAATCGGAGAGGAATCGATAAGAACTGGTTTCGAGCGGATCACGGACGATGGATCACAAGCGCCGAGAACCGGGTGTTAACCGGGGCTAAAGTATCGGTCAAACACAACGGGCACAAAGAATGACACTGCGGTGTTAACTGGCCCGTGGTTTTTTTCCTCGAGCCGAGATCGAGGATACCCTTTCGATGACCTCAAATCAGAAGAGAAGGAGAAGGAGAAAGAAGAAGAAGAAGAAGAAGAAGAAGAAGAAGAAGAAGAAGAAGAAGAAGAAGAAGAAGGAGAAGATAACCCGAGTGTCCAGGTGTCTCGTGATCGGCCGACAAAGGATCGTTTCGAAGACTGGCGCAACTGGCATCGAAACTGCGGCCAAAGACGTGTCGGCACAGTCATCCTACCCACGAAGAGGCGAGAGAGACGAGGGGGGAGGGAAACTTTGGTCCTTTTCGAGTCGGGTCACTAAGAGGAGGAGGAGGAGGAGGAGGAGGAGGAGGAGGGAGACGATGAAGATGTCACCTTGGCGAGCCACGCTGGGTGACCTCTGGGCCGAGTCAGCGAATTCCTCTCTCTCTCTCTTTCTCCCTCGGTTGATCCACGATGACGACTTTATCCCTTTGACACCCTTCTGGCTGACGAGATTTATGAATGATCGATCGTACGGGTGAATAGGGGTTTGTTGTCCTACGCGGACGCATTCCCCTGTGCTGTTCGATACGACGCCGTGATTAGCGTTCTACGATCGAGGCAATTAATCCTCCAACGACGTCTACGGGATGGTTGCGAACCATCCTTTCCTTCCAATTGCCGCCCAATCGTCTCTGTCACTATTTTTCCAGAGAGAGAGAGAGAGAGAGAGAGAGAGAAATCGCGATCTTCTATTTCTAATTCGAATTGATTCCGAAATTCGAAAGATTTGAAAGAAAGAAAAAAGAAAAATGCGTAATCGTATTCAGATTCGTGGAAATAATTCGTGATAATCTCGCGAGTGATAAAATAGAACGCAGGATTGCTCGAGGCAGGTACGCGTGAGAGAAATCTATCGGGTGGTGGCAGAAGGGATCGTGAGGCCACGAAGGAATGCCATCATCGGTCCACCTAGGAACGTGGCTAATGGGCCCACTTAACGTCTCAAGCATCTCACCAGAGCCGCGTAGGTCATCTCTTGGTCCATCTCTCGGGCTGTTCTCCGCGTGGCGTGGCGCGTTAATAATCGCCAATATTTATTCCGGATTGGTCACGGCTCGGTCCGGAGAGCGATGAGGAGCTAGCCGAAGAATGAGACGACCACGCCGAGATCGGAGCCCTCGCCACATTGTAACGCGGGAGATTAATACGTATCGTTCACTTTCGTTCAACCCCCCCCCCCGCTTCGTTGTGGCCGCGCCACGCTTCCACGCGTCCCCCAATTCCTCTACCTGTTTCTTCCCTTACGATTTATTCCAACTTCTCTTTCGTCCAAATGAAATTTTTGGATACGCATGTTTATTTGTCTTTCTTTTCTTTTTTTCAAAAAATTTAGATCGAATTCATTGAGGAGAGGAAAGAAGAGAGAGAGAGAGAGAGAGAAACCGCCGTTTCCAACTCTGGTATGCTGGACTCGCGATAAAAGTAGAAGTAATCGGTCTGTCAGGGGGCCGAAACCGACGATAAAGTTATTAAGGGAATTAGCCTAAAGGCGATTACCAACTGTCGACAGGTTGGCCTAGCGCCTAACGGGCTCTCGATCCATGCCCAACACTTAATGATTTGTCTCTCGAGCTAATGAGTGTCGGGTCTTAACGCCAGATTAGTGACCTAATCCTTCTGATGAGCGATTCGCGTGTTCGCCACGCGGTGCGACTTAATGTACGCGCTATCTAGCCGCATAATAGACACGTCCACAGCGGCCATTACGGCGACAGGTGCCGCTCAACCGGTAAACAAATAATGTAATTACGACACCATTGAAATTCCCCCCCCGTATCTTTTAGCCTATTTAACGGATCGCCCGTTCATAATTCGAATTGAAAATTCGTATAATGGAAAAAAAAAAAAAAAAAAGAAGAAAGAAAAGGAACCGGCGATAAATAACTCGCGTTGCCACGAGTTGCCTCTCGTGACGTTTCGCGAAATTTCATGTATTCGAGACGGATCAAGAAGAAAAAAAAAAAAAAAAAAAGAAAAAGAAGAAACGACGTTTTCAACAACGTCGTTAAATAATTCAGAGAGGACAGAAGAGCCATACATTGGCGCGTTTTATTTTTAGATAAAATGTCCTAAGCTATTTTTCAAATATATTCATTGAATATATATCGGGGACTGTTTCTCTCGTTTTTTTTTTTTCTTTTTTTTCGTTCGAAAGAAAAGAGGCGGCGTTAACGAAGAGAGAGAAGAGAGAGAGAGAGAGAGAAGAAATAAATCGGACGGCCGTGAAAAAGTGACGGCGCGTCCAGTCGGTTAATTTCTTCCGAGTTACAGTTTTCAGGATGAAAGGGCGGGGAATGGGATGGGTGGAGGTGATACGGTGTGTCGCTTATATGGGACGCCGTGTCCTGCGGACGGACAAAGGGTGAGGATGAATCGCCTCCGGAGAGGCGGAGGACAAATGGGGACATTAAGTCGCTTTTGCGACCTGGTACCAGAGCTACCGGAGTTCTATGCACCACCTCCAACCTCTTCCTTCCCGTCCACGTGTCCGCGATTTCTGGATACATTTCGTACCTACTACTACGCTCTATGTAAATCGCACCCTGTAAATTTCATCGTTCTTTTTCCCCTTTTTTTTTTTTTTTTGTCTTCTCTTAACGACGATTTCAACGGCTCATCCTTCACTCACGATGATGCGATAACTCAACGGGCAAATCCCTCTCGTTCCGAGAGTTTCGAAATATTTTACGATATTTTACGATGTTTCCAACTTCGAAGAAGAATCGAAATCGAAAAATGGAAAATATCCAAATGGAGAGGGGGAGAAGCAAAGGATTTTGATTTTTCAATCGTCGGGGAAATAGAAACCTCGGTTGAAATAGAAATAGAATCGCATCCCGTGTAATTTTCCTTTCTTCGACTCCGTCAATTCCAACGCCGTTTATTCCCGGCGAGGAAATTTACGAGCATTTTTACTAATATTTCAAAATATTTTACGATACTTATAAAAAAAAACAAAATCTAAGAGATATCCCGCAACTTTGGAAAAAGAGGAGGGAACAATATTCGCGGAAGAGAAGGAGGAAGAAGAAGAAGAAGAGGAGGAGGAGGAGGAAGAGGAGGAGCGAGTGAGTTTTTCTTTTTCTAGTCAGGGAGAGAAACACAAATCTTCCTCGTGGAAATAATCATTATTTGAGCATCGATCATCGGCCTCGTGTAAAGAAGTGTCGACAACGAGGAAGAGAAGAATTCCCGCGCAATGTTTCATCAGCTCTGCGTGCTTTTCTGCTCGCGACTGATTTATATCGAGATGGAAGCCGCGCGTGGCTACGCTCCACACTGGCCACGATCCGATCGCTATCGAGTTCCGGCGGAAAGGAAGGAAGCGTCGCGACGAACCGCCCATCCTCCGATCCATCTTTCCCACTGGAAACTCCATCGACGATCCATTATCCGGCCGCGAGGTATCGTTATCGATTCAAAGTTCGAATCTGCGCTGCGAATCCCGCTTATCCCTAAGAGAAGAGTTTCGTTTCCGAATTCGTTGAAATTTCTCCAAAAGATAAAAAGAAAAACGTACGATCGATCGTTTTAGAAAAACAGAGAGAATATATTAAATTTAAAACGTGAAATTTGTTGAATAAGGAAATTAATGGGGAATTATTCGTAATGTGATGGAAAGATTTCGACGAATTGCGTTCGGTGGGGAAAAAATTCCAGGACACCCGGTGGATAGTAGCGCAGTGCCGTAGGATGGTTTTCTCGGGGGTAGGAGCGAGGACCTGTCACATTACGGAGTGGAATTTATGTCCGATGCCCAGCGGCGTGACAAGTTGCCGCTGATGAACGGCCCCACCGCGAACTCTTGGCCCTCCTTCGGGATACGAACGGAGAAGGACGAGACCAGGGAGGAGGAGAATCCTTGCTTCTCTCTTAGCAGCCACCCGTCCTTGGCCTTCCCTCCAAATTTCCTGGAACTTTTCCTCCTCTCCGTTTTAATCGCCACTCCCTCTCACTCCAATTTCTTCTCCTTCTCGTTCGAAACATAAAATTCTATTTCTCTCGTCTTTTCTATATATATCAACTACGTATATCAAATTTTTAATTTAACGGGAAATTTACGATAACGATTGGATTGGACGTTTTCGAGGAATCGATCGAACGCAATTATTTCGATTATTGCTCGACGTAAGGAGTGAAGGAAGAAAAGGGAAGAAGGCGAATTATCGTAGGAAATTTTCTACGAAATTTCCGATGACGTGGACGTGGATGGTGATGGTGGTGGTTAAGAAAGAATAGGGAACGGTGGGGACAAACAGGACGGGAGGTCCCTGTGGCTTTTAAAAAAGTCTCATATGATTTTAACGCCCCACGCAAGAAGTCGTTCCTCGTGCTAACGCCGCCGACCGTGCACGGCCTGCCGGTGATAAACACGCCAAGTTACGATTTCTCGGAGCCGGAGACCTGTGTTAGTCCGCCATGCGTGTCTCTGTGGAATATCGCGTGCTGCGGCTGGAGAAAGCCGACGAAATTCGATGGAAACCGATCCAATTCTTGCGCCGTTTCTCCTCTCCGAATTCTTCTTCTCGATCGGCGTAGCAGTACGCTCGCGTTTTAAATATTTCTCCAACGTGAAAACTCTGGAACGCAAGCATGAAAATCGAACTCGTATCCGGGAAGCATCTGTTTCGCATACGCCAGTCGCATGTGCCAAAATTTCGTTCCAGGTGGTTCGCAGACCATCCTGCTTTCCATCATCCCATCCTCCAAGATAATAAAAAACACGTCGCGTGTCAACCCCTGGTAATCTCTACAGCTTTATTTCCAAATTCTATACCTCTTCGAGGTAAACTCTTTTTAAAAAGTTTTGGTTTTCGAAGCACTAACGAGGCGTGTGTAGCGTCCTCTTAAGGACATTGGAAAATTATACTCGAATAGTTACGAGTCCCGTCACATCTGTTCCATTCACGTTCCATACGTTCGAGCTTCATCACGAACTTTCTTTCCATCCAAAAGAAGGAGAAGAAGAAGAAGAAGAAGAAAAAAGAAATATTCATAAAATCAATTCTCGAAAAAACGAAAGATTCATCTTCTGCTGTACATTATTCGAATGTATAATTTATCGACAGTAAAAATTAAGCTCGATCGTAATCGTAATTCGTAAGCAAATTAAAAACATCAAAACTACGAAATATTATTTCTCGAACTTGTCCGTTTTTTTCATCGCGACGATATATATATATAATACAATTAATTATCGATGGATGGAAAAAATTACTGGTATCGTAACGAAAGCAAATTCCTACATCATCGAATCAGCCAACAGCGAGAGAGAACGTAGAGCAAATTTCTCGGCGGTCGGCTTGCTCGGTATCCCCTTACGAATAGCTTCCAAGAAGCTGTCGTTTCGCGAAATGTCACCGTTCGCGTCGCGCGACCATCGCACGTGCACAAATCTACGTGCGACTACACGTGCAGAACACCGTCAGTCAGTCGTTGTGTTCCGCAACCTCGTGTTGCACGACGTTACCAGACGCTACAATGCACGACGCTTTGCATTCTGGAAAATTTCTCGTCTTTCGGCGGCGAACCAAATGTTTCTGCAATAATAAACTTGCCGTTGCCGCGAAAAAAAGAAAAAGAAGGGGGAAAAAAAAAAAGAATCGGTAACGTCAGCAGTGTCGAGTAACCAACTAACCACCTAGTGGCTAGAAATGATCGCGCGAATGATTTTTGTTTTTTTCTTTTTCTTCTTCTTCTTTTTTTTTTTTTTCCTTCCCCTCCCGATACTCGCCATCGACGAGGCAGCCTCTTTATTCTCGAATGGGCTGAAACTCGCGTACGATATATTCGCGGGAGGAAGAATAGTTTGGGGGATGGGACGAAAGAGAAATAATATATACATGTATATAGTTGAAACAGACTTGTTACCAGAACTCATTTCGCGTGATTGATGTCCCAAATAGGTTCCGATAGCTCCGCTTTTCCAGCGATTTCGATCAGCAAACAGCTGCTCTTGAACGCGGGAATTATTATCGCGTTTCCGGAGCTTGCTTGCTCGGCCAGCGCGGCGGAATGTTTGCGCAAACAGTGATCGCGTACGATAGAAATATTTCGTATTTCCTCCGATGGCGATGCCTTTGTTATTGTTACGTGACTTGAATTAACGATCGAATCGAAATTAAAAAAAAAAAAAAAGAAAAGAAAAAAGAAATACACGT